GTAACGAATCTTAACAATGGAGATTCTTCAGCTTCCGTGATCACGCCGTTGCCTGCTACTTAAAAGTACACATCTGTACTCACAAATTCATTCTCTTGTGTCAGAGTGAAAGTTACTTTACAACTGGCCGTTTACCACCAACCATTTCGTCTTGGCGTTAAGCCCCTTGAGACTCACGGCCAGAGATCTTTTTTTTTTCAACTGAACCCTGCTCTAATAGCCCTTATGTAACATCCGATCGACGAGAAGAATGGGTTTGTCTCTTATGAGCAGGCTTGGCCTTTCGTCAAATGTACGTATCGCACTTATGACATGTTATCCTCAGTCAGCACAGGCTTTGCAAAGCAGATCATGTTTATCTTACGTATCTTATGCTACACCAGCAGCTTAGTCACTTGAATGGTCGTAAGCTTCACCACCGCCAAGTTTAAGCCTCTTATATTTTATTCCGTTGTGCTTCAATAATCTGCTCCTTACAGGAGTATAACTTCGAAGCAGACCTGTTAGAAAAAAACAGCTTCCAACAGTTCTGTTGTTGCGTGCGTCTCCATTTCCTACGAGTACTTGTTTATTTAGCCGTTACTTTGCATCGGACCATGTAAACATATCACAACATTTTGTATTTTTATGAATCTTTACAATAACTCACTTACATTGGCCATATGTCTGCACCCTACGCCCAGTTTATAGTGAAGATAGAAATATAAACATGTGGTCACATCAAAGTAACCCTATGATTTCATAGGATTGCTTATCTTATAAAATGACCATGAAATGACCTGCCTCGGCAGAGCCTTAGCTTGCATATTTAATGTACTTTGCCCTGGCAGACTGTGGAGGTAACAAGCTTTGTGCTTTATGTTTCCAATCTTCTGGCTACAGGTTCGAATATCACCTTGAACATTTATGTATGCGTGTGTACGTTCACTTCACTGCCAGCCGGTGTTTCCACGGAGGTCGTAGTCGCTCAGATAACAAAGAAATTCCCGGCGCAAAAATGAGTCAGTATTTAATCTTTTAATAAAATCTTTATTTCATATACAATACTAGAAACTAATATACATAAAGAAAGGCCATTGCATGGGGAGATTTATCCTCTATGAATCAAGTGTTTATTATGATTACCATTACGCCTGGCNACCGCCGTGAAAGCCTCAAATCTTACAATTCCATTATTGTTTGCAGCCCTCCGAAACGTCGGTTAACACCACGTATACACGGTGCCAAATCCCAGAAGACTGCTTTCTTCATAGTCACCGCCGTGAAAGCCTCAAATCTTACAATTCCATTATTGTTTGCAGCCCTCCGAAACGTCGGTTAACACCACGTATACACGGTGCCAAATCCCAGAAGACTGCTTTCTTCATAGTCACCGCCGTGAAAGCCTCAAATCTTACAATTCCATTATTGTTTGCAGCCCTCCGAAACGTCGGTTAACACCACGTATACACGGTGCCAAATCCCAGAAGACTGCTTTCTTCATAGTCACCGCCGTGAAAGCCTCAAATCTTACAATTCCATTATTGTTTGCAGCCCTCCGAAACGTCGGTTAACACCACGTATACACGGTGCCAAATCCCAGAAGACTGCTTTCTTCATAGTCACCGCCGTGAAAGCCTCAAATCTTACAATTCCATTATTGTTTGCAGCCCTCCGAAACGTCGGTTAACACCACGTATACACGGTGCCAAATCCCAGAAGACTGCTTTCTTCATAGTCACCGCCGTGAAAGCCTCAAATCTTACAATTCCATTATTGTTTGCAGCATTTTTTTTAACTTTTCCTCTAGGAATCCCCGAAGGAAGTAGTCATATGGGTTTCATTCAGGACTATTCGGTGGCCACATGCGAAACCATCAGGAAATTGGTTTGAGATGGCACACGAGTCGAGATTATCATGCAGAAAGTCCAAAAAAACATTCACTGTAGATTCTAAAGGGTTCTGACGATAGTATATAACATTCAGAATCACAGGGTTTTTGGACTTTGTCCATCGCCCGGTATTCTAGAAAGTAAAAAACACAACATTTCGGAAAATGGATCTGTTTCCGTCCTCAGATGGGGGGGAAGACACTTACTCTGTTGGGTCCTTTGGAAAGAGCGAATCTAACTTGAAGACGGAAACAGATCGAGTTTCCAAAACGTTGTGTTCTCTAATTTCTAGAATACCGGTAGACAAAGTCAAGAAACCCCAGTGATTCTGAATATTCGCTGTGTGTGGTCCGGCTCCATTCTCTGTGAACCACTGAGTGTGTGTAACGGTAGACATGTAGCAAGAAGTTGAGGCACAAAAGTATTGCGCAACATGCTTAAATAGAGCTCACTGTCCACCGTCTCTTCAAAGAAAATTGACCCTAGCCGTCCATGACTTGAAATGGCGGCCCACACTATAATTCTTGGTGCAGATGCACCTTCGCATGAATCACACGTGGATTCTCTGACGTCCAAAATCGCACGCTTTGTTTATTAACCACACTATCCAAGTGGAAATGTGCCTCATCAGAAAAACAAACATTCTTATACGATACCTCATTATTCTGAGCCCAATCAGCAAATGCCATTCTTTTGTGTTTGTTGTGAACTGTAAGTTTAGGCAACACTGTCATTTTATATGGATACAAATTCAAACCACTTTTCAATATTCGTTGCACAGATCGTCTGGGTATCTCTAGTAGTGCTGCAGGTTTCCTTGTTGATTTACTGGGACTTCTTCATAGAGCCACTCTGACAGTGTCAATGTTCTCCGGAGAACGCATAGATGAAGACCGGCGGCGGTTCCCCTCGAACACTGAACCATCGTTATTAAACTGGTTGTAAAACTTACGAATTGTTTTGTGTGAAGGAGCGTTTGAAAACTGGCAAGACACCGCCTCTGTCTGACCACAGCACTTCTTGTTTCAGTAGGGAACAACGCTGTTTCTATGCGTTCTTCTACAGTCTTCCTTTGTCGGCCATCTTGTGTAAACTGGGGCATGAGCAGACACAGCGCGACACTAGCGCTCTCGGGAAGATTAAGAACTAATGTCCATGATCTGCAGTAAGTGTTACCATGTCACAAAACATCGTTCACTAAATGGTTGAATAATTAATACTGAATCAAATATTGGATCATTTCGTGGGCCGCTCTGTATGTATCGCGACTATTGCTTATCGGGCTCACAAGAGTTCGTCACTGGTCTCTGTTCCTGATCAGATGATTCTATAGATACTTCTTCCCTAGATATCTTGACGCTGTGTATCTTTAAGATTCATTGTAATATTATCTTTCCATGTTATCTATTCCCTTCAGGTTTTCTGCTTAAAATTTTGCATATATTTCTTTACCCTCCCATGAATGCTACAGGACATGTCAATCTAATCTCTTCCGTTCTGATTAGGATATTAGCCCATGTAACATATTATTTTGTAATTGAATGCAGAAGTGAGGTGATACATGATAGCCTACTTTAATCACTTATACAGGTATCGGGAAGCACTGAAGCCTTTATGTGCTTCCGGCGTTTAACTTATTCATAATTCTTGAAATCTCTACGGCCCTTCGCCGGAGCCCGTTAGGTTCATGCCACATTTTCGCGCAAGTATATGGATGGTACAGTATGTGCCTCAGTAGAGCAGTAAGCCAAAGCCGCTAACCGCCTTTGCGGTTAGCCACTAGTGTAAATATTTGGCCGAGAGTTAATGACGGTCTTCATGTTAAATTGCTGCAGGGAAGTAACGCCAAGCTAAACATTGCTCTGCCGTTCACTGTGCAAGAAGATGATTGTACGCTCCGGCCTGTGTTGATTTAATTTTTATCCACAAAGTATGGAGTGACATCCCAGTGGTTGTGCGGCCCAAAGCAAGCAATGTCTTCGCCCTTCCGAACACTGGAATCATACGTTTCAATCTCACTCGACGCATAGATGTGTGTATAAATATTTTCTTTATTAGATTTCTGTGTAGGTAGCGGCCTTGAAACGGGCTGATCCCTCGTCCAGGAAATCCTACCTGTTTCTTGTTAGGTTTATACCATTCAGATTAATTCTGATATGGCAACAGAACGGAAGTGTTTATCCGTTTAAGGAAAAGGAAAACATATAAAGCGTTAGATATTGGTTAAACAATCAGTAGATATTATATAAGATACAAAAGAAACTCCGTGGTTTTAGTCCGCAAGCGAACTATACCGACCAAGAGACCGCCGCTTGTCGGCGAAGTTAGTGCCAACTTTAGTGGATAGAGGGCTTCGTGTGGTCAGCACAATGGATCCCTACGGCCATTAATATCGGTTTTCTACACCGGAATTTAACCTAGGTTTTTTGTAACCTACAGTTGATATTGAGACTGCCATCGAGCTGTTTAATTAATATTTATTACTTAACTTATGTTGAATATCTCTAAGAGGTGACACTTAGGCTTCTGTATGGCTTCTTAGCGAATGGATGTCACTTCTCCTTCTTGTTCTAGAAAACCTAAAGAGCAGGGAGGAAGAAATTTTGAAGGCATCGAGGAAGTTGTGCTATTTTGCTCGTGTGAGTCAGTGTTCCTCCAGCCATAAATGCAGTTCCATTTCTAAGTATTTTGCATTAAACAAATTGAGGCAGAAACCCCGTACCCACCTGTCTGTGAATTCGTTTGTACTGTGTTCATAGCTTCCATGAGAAGCATCATTATGGTTGAGCTGATGACCATGCTTTCATATGCGATAGACATGCCTATCTATTGCTCACCCCATTTAAAATAGGCATAAATAATGTGTGATACTGATGAACCATGAATTTGTTAACCGAGCTGAAGTAGAAACTGGCATTTCGTAGGCAATGAGGCCTGTTGTTTACGAAGAAAGTGGAGAATAGTTCCTATTTTTATGTTTCTGTGATGAATAGCGCACAGATGATTATGAACTAAGAAATATGCAGGTCTAAGGGGGATCTGCCCTAGTACGTATTGGTTAGGCTGTTAGTTTGATATCAGGAAGCCATTATTAGCATTTAAACTGATGGTATCTTTGTGTTCCAACAGAAGTTGAACTGGTGTACCGGGACGTGGAGGGCGGAGTTACGCTGTTCAATGCAGAGAATCTTACCACCAGGATCCTCATGACAAACTCTACGTTTGTAAGTACAATTTACGTTGTTAATTGGCTAGGCATTTTTCCGAGTACGAAACCAACTGTTTGCAACCTAAAGTTCCTATGAAGGAACATATATAATTTTTATTGTCAACGCAACAATAATTTTATTTATTTATTTATTTATTTATTATTTGCATGTGCAAGAAATGCCGGTCACGGTAGCCGAGTGGTCTAAGGCATGTACTGTCTTCGCTCGCTTAGAAACCGGGATCGTGGGTTCGAATCCCACTCAGGGCATGGCTGTTAATTTGTGTGTGTGCGTTTTTCTGTGTTTGTGTACAGGTAGAGGCCTTGCAACGAGCTGATCACCCGCCCAAGGAGTTTTACCGAATGTGTAAGATCTAGAAAAACCCAAGTGAACGGAGAAGTTCATGGAGGTAGGCCTAGGCCCACTGGGGCTGTAGTGCCAGGGGAAAAAAATGTGCAAGAAATGAAGTTCTCATAGCTTTGACGATCCACATTGTTGCCTGCGGGGTTATGCCACCACGTAGTATGGTAAGTGGGTGCCGCCATTTCGGAGGAACGCACTGCCTCCATATTCAAGGGTACCCTGAAAATCTTCGAAACATTTCTACCCATATTTCAGATTACATGATGCCATAACCTACGAGACAAAATTATGAATACTCACCGCCTTGAAAGCAACATATCTCATACAATGGGAGATATTTACTGCTTGAAGCACCCGTGAAGACTCAACGATCAAATACTAGCCGGCTATTGGCCACAGAATATGAATCTCCAAAATTTTTAGGGCTCTTTGCCTCCGTAATCAGGGACAGGTATGGAATGACCATCAGTACGAACCATTGTACTCGTAATAGGGTGAATGTAGGACTGGGTCAAATGGATGAGCGGTAGAAAAGAGTTCAAGTCACCATAGTCTGAAGTCAATTAGTTCGAAAACTCCACAGTGATAAATCTACAGGGTCTCTGGAGCCCCGCCCCTATCGCATCTATGTTAACTGCAGTAGGTTTGTTCTGTCAAAATATTCTTCGGCTTTAGGGGAACCCGTGAGGCGCAGAGAAGCTGCTGACGCACATAGGCCTACGCTTTGGTGAAGTAACGCATTCTGTATTCCAGAAACAGAAGCAGGTTACCATTACTTTATTGTATTTTATATATTGCGTTGCTGAATTATGTTCTTGTGGTAGACAGACTTGTTCTCCCATGCTTAGGGAAGAATATAGGCCTAGGCAAGGATGTTTGAGAACAAAATGGAAGGTAATATTTCAAAATATATGAGAGGAAGTAACAGTTTACAATAAGATTATTATCTTCTGGGGTACAACATATTGTAGCCCGGTAAATATTCTCCGGCCTTGCGGAGGAACATACCGCCTCAGTTTCCAAGGTCACAGAATAAACCGTGCAAGAAACCTGCAAGAAGTAGTTTTTTCCTTCCTTTTTTCAGTTTCTTGGGGTGGGTGAGACAGTAAACTCGGTACGTCGGCCGCTAACTGGCCTATTGTACCAGCCCCGGATGATAGATGATGATGAAGGTGAAACACTTGGTGGAATGAGAATTGCCAAGGGTAACCGAAGTACTCGGACAAAATCTGTCCTAGTGCTACTTAAAATTTGCTTAGTGGAGGGTGGAGTCCAACTGGGTCCACTCGGCATGGCGGCCACTGATTGGCCTATTGTAGCTTGTCCCGGGTGATTTTGATGATGGAGAATTTGGTGGAATGAAGATTGGCAGGGGAATCCGAAGTACTCGGAGAAAACCAGCCCCAGCGCCACTTTGTCCACCACAAATCCCACTTGACTAGACTCGGGATCGAACCCGGGCCGCCGCGGTGGGAAGCCAGCGACTAACCGCTTGAGCTATGGCCCGGCCTTTAATGCCACTTCGTCAAAAAAAAAACACATGACCTGACCTAGGCTCGAACTAGGGCCGCCGCTGTGGGAAGCCGGTGACTAGCCGCCTGAGGCATGGTACGGCCTTGCAAGAAGTAGGTGGCAAGTGTAGATAATCAGAAGATTTCATAAATTTTTTTTCACCAGATACTGTAAGGATGGTTGAAGAAGTTTTGATGGGTGAAATATATTGCAATGTCGAAGAACAGAACAAACTCCGTGGCTTTAGTCCGCTATCGAACTATACCGACCGAGCGACAGCCGCTTGTCGGCGAAGTTAGTGCCAATTGTAGTGGAGAGAGGGTGTCGCGTGGTCAGCGCAACTAATCCCCAGGCCCGTTAATTTCGGTTTTCTAGACCGGAACCGCTACTTTTCCATTCAAGTACTCCTCAGTTATCCTCACGAGTCTGAGTGGACCCAATTCCAGACCTACTATTTCTCAGAAAATCTGGTAGCGCCGGGAATCGCACCCGGACCTCTGGGTCTGTAACCAGGAACTCTGACCACTAGACCACAGAGGCGGCCAAACGTTCTGAGAAATGCGTCCAAATTTCGTCGGAAAATTTGGAAAGGTAGACTTGAACGGGTAGATACAAGTGAGGTAGAACTATATATAGTGGAGAGCAAAGTAGTGAATTCTACCGACTCAGACTAGAACCCAGTAGCAGACCCTTGGGTTCCACAAGAGGCCGGAATTACTTGACCAGCTGAGATACCATCAACTTCTCAATAAAGAATCTTCTTCATCAGTTATTTGTAATATGTATATGGTCCTGAACTTCCTAAGTTTTATACGTACAAGAAATTCCCAGTTTTTACTGCTAATTCCAATATCCAACGACGCTGGGTTTTCACCTTAACGCTAATTCCGTGTTGAGGGTCTGTTCTTCTCATATTTGCAGTGAAAATATTATTCCCTGTTTCTATAACAAAAGAGAAAGAACAAATGCCTTCACAATTACATTAAGAATCTGATTCACTGGTGCATTTCCGGTTAAAGCGTTATTTAACCTGACTGGTGCAGTTCAAGCCTCAGCGGATGTGAGACATTTGGTAAGTGACTTTCTCACCCGAATGATCCTTTGGTTGTATATATCGTAGAGGCCGCGCCATAGCTCAAGCGGTTAGTCGCTGGCTTCCCACCGCGGCGGCCCGGGTTCCATCCCGGGTCTGGTCAAGTGGGATTTGTGGCGGACAGAGTGGCGCTGGGGCAGGTTTTCTCCGAGTACTTCGGTTTCCCCTGCCAATCTTCATTCCACCAATTGCTCCACAATCGCCCTCGCCTATCATCTGGGGCGGGTACAATAGGCCAGAAGTGGCCGCAGTACAAGGGACTTAGTCCCACCCCACTGGCAATAAAAAGAGATATCGTAAATAATTTTGTTAATTGAAGAATGTCGTCTTTTGAAATATGGCGCCGCATACTTCTTGTGTGAACCGACGTTTCGGAGGAACGTATAACATCTATCTTCAGGAAGAAAAATCCCAAAGATGGAGGCAATACGTTCATCCGAAACATCCATTCACACAAGTTTTACACGGTGTCACATCCCAGAAGACTGCATTCTTCATAGACACCGCCGTGTAAACCTCAAATCTTACAACTGTTTAAAATATTTATCTGAAATTGCCAAGCTATGTCAGCGTAAAAACACTCAATATATAGCATGAACTTTGTGTTAGACCTACATTACGGGAATCTGTGGCTGACGTCTTTCTTTTATGTCCCTAAATTTAAACTATACAACAAGGGGCCTTGTTATGACGTATGTTACTACTGTTTCCTCGTGCCGTGCCGTATTATGCGCGTCTTGTAACTGTCTGGGCTGGACTGACCTCCTTCGGTCTGTTAGTATGACTAATAATTGTCTGATGTTAAATATACAATGACTGAAGATTGCTGACGTTTGGCGAGAGAAGTTACAGAAGTTACCGCGGTATTGATAACATTTGCGCTCGAAGTAGCAGGAGCGGCCAACATTCCGGAAAGAGATATTATGGCCTGCATCATAATAGACGAAATCACCAAATATGTATAAACAGAATAACCAAACATAATCGAAAGTGTAGATCCATTGCTACGCAACGACTCGGTAAACATATTCCCGCGGAAGCCAAGTCGCCCAACAATAGAACGTCCATTGCTAGGTGACAGACCAGTAAACACGCTTCCTTAACGAAAGAGACTGTATTTTCTGTGTAGTCCGTGCCGGTAACCGTGACCCTGCGAGTTGTAGGAGACGACGAATAAGAAAGTCTCGAATCTGAGACAGTAAAATATGGTCGCGAGTCCCAAGGGACTCGGACCCAAGATAGACTACGCTGGCAACGTCCGGCAGCATATACAAAAGACAGACCCGTCCTCTCGTCAAAGACGGCGCCCCACATTAAGAAGACTGTAACTGTCAAACAGTAATAAATATCTGGTCATGAGCGGCAGATGGAGCTCGACGTCAAGACCTACTGTCTGACTGACTGAGACTTTGACTTTGACTTGAGCAAGCAGAGTAGTCGAGGAGTGAAGAGGCGAGTTTCGGGACGCCGGCCTGCCGGAATATGAGTGACTGAATTGAGCATGATCTTCGGAAGTATCAGCTGAAGAATAATGGCAAGAAGACTTCATGTGTGATTTGAAGTTACAGTTAGGCTGTGATAAATCCGTTGCCAGGATACGACTAGTGAAGACTGAGAACACTAGTGCATGTGTAACAGTAAACTGTAAAGATTGTAAAATAGCGATAGCTCTGTATTGCCTATAGTTCCGAGTTGTGTGTATAAATCCAATCATACAACCTAAAACCCGTCTTATTAGTCACCCCTCTACGTGACAATACCAAGGTACTGGTGTTAGTATTTAACACAGAGTAACATCAAATGATTCGACTCCATAGTGTCTTTTCCTCATCACATATCTTGCCTTCTTACGAATTTTTAATTATTGAGCCTCGTATTTTGTCATGTCTGATTTATTTCGAATAAAGTCCTGTGTATTTTATGCATGTTTTTCTTAGAGAATCAGAAGGCTTGTGCTATAATATTCATCTCCTTTACTTCTGCCATTATGCATGTTCTGTTTTTCTTACCATTCTACGTTTCATGCCAACCAGCATACGTAAGCTTC